ATCTGTTAGAACTTAAAACTGTCTTTGAGTTTATTTTTTAAAATTATCTAAAATAAAAATTGTCTATCTCTAATTTATTTAGTCTCAGAAATAAAACTTTGATAAATTAAATCCAGAGACAAAGAAGGCAAGAGTGTAACAGCAAAGTAGAGATAAGGTTGAAAATTACTAGATGAAGAAACAAAATCAATTATTTTAAAACCTGAAAGATTACTGTTTCAGTAACATGATTATGATTAATAACCTTGTTTAAGTGAATTAACTTTTTCCTTATTTTCCCAATGTTATTTTATGATTTAACACTAGAAAATACAACTGAAGTATTAGATGATAAAATAAAAAAAAGAAGAGATCCCATGGTGCAAACCCATCACAACTGGGACCTAACACAAGCTGCTACAAGCAGAGATGAGCTACGTGTGTGATGCACAACCTATATATGCAGTATTCTTTCATGTAACAAAATAGTATTTTTTCTTAAGATCATTGACAGTATCTTAAATTGAGCAGAACAAGCCCTGGAGTTAAATGATGACACTGAATTTCATGGAGTCAAGTACAAATCAATTATGTCCCTTTTTTAATGGTAAATGCATTTTTTTTTAAGTATGAAAGGCACTACTAAATAAAAAGCTTTTAAGTCTCCCCTTGATTCCTTCATTTTTCTCATGAATAATTTTTAATCTTATTATTTTGCCCTTTCTTCTCATCATTTTTTTGTTGGCAGGTGAAAATGTTTCTTTTATTGGTTTTTCCAAACCAATTCTAGTTCTTAGTTTATTCAAGAAGCCCATCTTTATTCAGAACCATGAACTAAACAAAGCAAGAAGGAAGAGATGACAGTCACTTTCAAAATTTATCTCAATCTTTCTCTCAATTCTTGAGCATAAAAAGTCACTTTTTTATTTTTGTTCAAAATATTTATTCTTGGGATCTGCTCTCTAGGTCAGGGTTGGCAGACTTTGGCAGTTGGTCAAATCTGCCCCATTGTTTGCTTTTGTATAGTCCATAAGATAAGAATTTTTTTAGATTTTAAGTGGTTGGAAAAAAATTTAAAAAGAAATATATTTTGACACATGAAAATTGCATGTAATTCAAATTTCAATGTGTATATGAAGTTTTATTGGGAAGGAGCCACATTCATTCATTTACACATTGACTATGGCTGCATCCATGCTCTAACAGCAGAGTTGAGTAGTTTTAGAGACCAGATGCAAAGCCTAACATATGTACTACTTGATGCTTTAGCATAAATGTTTTCCATCCTCTGCTCTAGAGTCTGATTTAGAAGCTGTTAGATAGGAACTGGGAATTTATTATACATTTCTTGAGTGATTATGGTGCAGAGACTCTGGACCACACTTTTAAAAATAATGCAGTAGAAGACTTGTGAACAACCCTTCTTTTCTTCTCACTCATCACACCCGTTATATTATCTGGTTGTATTGGCTGTATCTTAAAACAGTATCTAGATTATGATGATTTTTAAACCATGGCCATTGTTATCAATCTAGTCCAAGCCATCACCATTTCTTGTCTGGATTCTTGTATTGGACTTCCTGGCTAGTCCCTCTGCTTCTGCTCTTGCTTTATACTGTCCATTCTCAACACAAGAGCCAGAGTGATTGTGTTAGAACCTGAGTAAGATCATGGAATTCTTTTCCTCATAATCCTCCCGTGGTCTTTCTACTTCTCCCCTTTCTCATGATTCTAGCTATATTGGCTTCCTAACTTCCTCAGAAACTCTACGAGTGTTCCATCCTCAATACTTACACAGGCTCTTTTCCCTAATTGTCAAAATCTTCCCTCCAGAAATATACATGGCTTTCAGCTTTGCTTCTTTTAGGTATTTCCATAGTCATGTGACACTTTCCACAACCACTTTATTTGAAGCACCTAACTGGAACTGCCTACCTCCCTTATGCCATCTATAATGTATGACACCTATCAAACAATTTTGTATTCAAAAACAGTTGCCATGAGTGTAAATATAAAATCCATTTTTGAATACTTTCAACACTATACCATTATGTAGTATTTTTACATGTAGGTAAAGTAGATATAACCTCAAAAACATAGATAATTGTAAAAATGTAGTAAAATAATTAAGAGTGATATTTTACTATGCATTACCTTCATGTGATATAATTTATTTAACTGTAAATTTAAATAAATCAATTTTTAATAATGGCTATGTTTTTAACAACCAGTTAGTTCACAAAATTCCTGAAAACTTATCAATTGGCCTTTGTAAATCACTGTGAGCCATATAATACCCTGCTGTCCCAATCCCTTCCCAGCCAAGACCCCACCGCCACCCGCGCCTGAGCCATATAGTGTTTTCCCAGCCGGGTCTGCTGAGAGGACCTGACAAGGCTGGCAACTTTTTGGAGATGAGTGTTCATCCCACAGCCACACCTCTGACCTTTGTCAGAGGCACCGAGAAACAAAATGAAACAACATGAAATGAAAATCCCATGAGGTTAGCAAGTTTGTAGCCTCATATGAATACAAGCAATAACATAACACTTGATAGTGCTTACTAGATGCCAGGGAATTGTGTGGTAACTTTATATTGATAACATAAAAACTGGCCATGGTGTTAGTATTTACATTACAGAAATTAACAAAGGCTATTGATCAGAGCTTGGTTTTTTGTTTGTTTGTTTTTTGCTATTTAGACTTAACATAATGGAGAAAATATCAATAATGATTCTTAAACTATATACTATAAGTGTATTGTATCATAACTGTTACATTGTGAATAGCAGAAAAATGAGAAAAAATCTTTTAATATTATAATGAGCAAGTCATTTCTTACTGTAACAAAATAACCAATATTCATGTCAGAAATATATTCATTTGGCAATTGCAGCCTTATGTTGGCTATCTGTATAAGAGTTTGGCAAAAAATCAATAAAATCCTTCTTTGGTTTTAAAAAAATTCTATTATTTTATGTTGAGATGATTTAGTTATTCTAATTCTCTCATCTCCCATTTTTCTGCTTAACTATGTACTATCTTAAATCATTTTATTGACAAGGGACAGGGAGACTAATAACTGTCAAGATGACAGATTGAACTTTCAAACTATGGGCTTGTAATAGCTTTACGTGAATATGAGATGTTAATAGAAGGTAATATCTCTGTAGCACTGTACATTTTTACAAAGCACTTTCAGGTCCATTATTTCACTTAATATTTCTTCAACTCTGTGATTCAGTTATCCCTATCAAAACTCATTCACTGATAAGGAAATGGAATTCAGAGATTCCTCAAGACACACAGCAAGTATGCCTTGGAATAAGAAATCATACTTTGGGCTTCGGATCCTGTTTTTATACTACAGTATATCTATTTCATTGGCCCTCCACCTTTTCCTCCTCCCAAAAAAGCAACATTGCGAGGGAGAAATACTGTTGTTATCCTTTTTACAAATAAAGTCACAAAGATAGTAGGTGATACAAGAGGGAATAAATTCTGGGCATCCTGCCTAAAAACCCTCATGTCATTTCATCTACAATGGATATCCTAGAGTGCAGTTTCATTGCCATTTGTGATGTAAGGAAGACCAAAATATCTAAGGGCAGCAATCGGGAATAGCAGATGATGAGGAGAGGAAATGAAATCAATGAGAGCATGGAACTCAGGCTATCTTTCCTTCATCAGGCCACTGACCAGCCTCACTCTGCACCCAGCCCTCAGCCCTTAGCCCAAGTTAACAGTGAGAGGAGATGTTGACCAAGGAAAATAAATTCAGACTGTTAAGGGAATTAATATGATGTGTAGAGAAATTCTACTTCTTTTCTGCTTGGACACCTATTTTCTTAAAACTTTCCCAATTAGTCCGTGAGCTCCTCAGAGGTCATGAAACTGTATATTTTATCTTTCTATTTCACACATATAAAAATAACTAACAGTTGGTGAGACAATAAAATTCCTCTCTATAAAATATAAAACTATTTACATTTATTAACTCATTTAATCTTTCTCCTAATAGGCACATAGGCATTGTATAAAGTAGGGAGTGTCATACCTCCTCCCTCTTTTTTCTTAAAGATGAGGAAATGATACACATAAATGTTAAATAACTTCCTTAAGGTTATAGAGTTGGTATTTAGCAGAATAAAAAGGAAGGAAGGGAAGGAAGGAAGGAAGGAAAAAAGTTAGGAAGGAGATGGAAAGGAGGAGAGGAAAGAAGGAAAGAGGGGGAGAAAGGAAGAGAGGAAACAAGAGGAATAAATCAGAAACAAAGGAAAGAAGATGGAGGGAAGGAGAAAGGAAGGATGATAAAAGAAGGAGAAGGAGAAGGAGAAGGAAAGGAGGGAGGAAGGCATAAACTAATGAGCACTCAAGCAAGAACCTCAGAGGATGACTGGTTTCCTCTACTTCTTGACTATTAACTTGACTTAACTTCTTGAAGTCAGGTCTGTGTATATGTTAATCAGAAGCTTTAGATAATGCAACCTGTGCTTGAGACTTACTGTCTTTTCTTCAGTTTAACATTTGTCGGTAGCCTTTTCCTCCTCTGCGTTCTTCAGAACTCCACTAGGTATGGGCTCTGTCCTGTGGGCCTCGCCACAGCCAGAGTGGTGGGTCTGCAATCAGATGTTTATGTTGGTGTGCAATCAGCTTATGTCTTGTTGTGAAGCAAGTCTCTTAACTTCACTGCGAATTCAGCTTTTTACCTTACATTACCTATATCATAGAGTTTTTATGAGGATAAACTAAAAATGCAAAGGAAAGCACTTCGTAAATGAAAAAACACTTTACAAATTTAAGGTATTATCTCCTAGCTCATAGAAATACTTACCTTGTAGCTAAAGAGTTTACATTTCTAACTTTTTTTTTACTCTTCTTATGTTTATCCCAATTATATCTCAAAATCATATATACATGAGAGTGTCCTATAAACAGTATTTGAAAACAAATAGGTTTCTTCCTGGCTTTTTCCAATACATATTTCTGATGGACCCCTCCTATTTTTTCTTTACTTATAGAAATCTTCAAAATTGAAAAACATCAAAAATAACAAGATTTGACTAAAGCCACTGGTAATGAAAACAAATATTGCAATGGAAAAGTAAGCATAGCCTTCCAGCTGAAAAACAACTATATCCCAATGGCCTACTCAGGAAACTTGACTCGCCAGCGCAAAGAAGACAACAACTTTAAAAGTATTAATGGATAAAACAAATAAGAAACCTATGTAAAGAATCCATATAGTCTATTCTATTGTACCAAAATCTTCACGTATCATTTCATTGTTACTAGGACATTTTTATTTAATGTGCATATTTTTGTGGTTATTTCTGCTAACAATTATTAAACAATTGAAAAATAACTTGACATTTCAGTTTCTGAGAAAAACCAGTACAAAAAGGGATGACAGCTGACCAAATATTTACTTTTATTTTCACAATTGTTTTTGCCATTTTTCTGGTGTTAAAACCATCCCTGTTAAATTAACTTTTAAAAAATTATATCTGAGAGTGATTTAAAATACCTAGGTTTCTGACCTCATTCTCTTGGAACTGTGAAAATGAATTATACTTCACATTTTTAGTTGGTTTTGGAACTACTCTGTAAATGAGTATGTTTGAAGCTTAATAGCCTAAGCCTTTGTGAGTCACAGGAATTTTGCCATAACTTTCTCCCCTGTTTCCTAACAACCAGGATTCATGACTGCAGTATCAGCAAAGTTCTGATACTATGCCTTATTTTATGTAATGTACGTTAGATAACCTTTTAGGTTAATGTTTATTAGGATTGTAGGAAAACCATTTTATTTATGTATTATGTATTAAGTGTATAAAGATAATATTATTTTGCATCTAACAAAATGAAGAGACAGAGAAGTTTCTCATTGAAGTTATGTAGGAAGTTAATGCCAAGCCTTGGTTTTGTTCACAGGTTATACTCTTTACAAAATATTCCTAATCTTCCATCTCATACTTATTTTATATATAGAAAGTATTAATTGGTTTAGTACCAAAGAGTTTCTGATGACAACAAATGATGAGGCAACTTTTCAATAGAAAAAGAAAATTACAGTTAGAGATCTTTTACACAATGTTTATTACAGTCAGTCACCCCTTAACAATGTTTTGGACAATGATGGACCACTTATACAAGGGCGATTCTATAAAGTTATAATGGAGCTTAAAAACGTCCATGCCTAGTGACATCATAGCCATCTCAGCACGGTTACACAAAGGTTTCAAAAATCAACACATCTGTGGATGAGATGGCAAACAACCCTAACCCGAGTGTGGGTGAGGATGACTTTGAGGAGCTCTTAGAGGTCGTTCCTTAGCAATTGATTTATGAGGAGTTGTTGCAACTAGAACAGGAACACATAATTAAAGAATAGGCAAGAGAAAAGGAAAGTGCAGGAGAAGAAAAAGAGAAGAACCCCTGAAGAAAATCAATGGGGCATTTAGCAGAAGCTTTTTCAGACCTCAAAAAGCTCATCAAAATGTTTGAAAACATGGACGTCCAATACTAGAAGTAATCATGGTATATTATTTGTTTACAAGCAAATCTCTGATGAAAAACAGAAACGAGCAAAGCGAATTGTCATGGCCATATTTCTTAAAAGAGTGGCACCCTCTCAAGAAGAGCCTCAAGCAGGTCCTTCATGAAGTGTTCCAGAAGAAGGCATTGCTTTCATAGGGGATGACAGCTCTCTGTGTGATATTGTCCCTGAAGACCCTCCAGTGGGACAAGACATGGGAGTGGAAGAGAGTGATATTGATGATTCTGACCCTGTTCAAGCCTGAGCTAATGTGTGTTTGTATCTTAGTTTTTAACAAAAAAAAGTTTAAAAAAAGAAAAAAAAAGCTTATACACTAAGACTGTAAAAGAAAGAATATTTTTGTTCAGCAATACAATATGCTTGTGTTTTAAACTAAATGTTATTGCAAAAGAACTGAAGAGTTAAAAAATTAAAAAGCATATATAATAAAAAAGTTACAGTAAGCTAAAGTTAATTCACTGTTGAAGAGAGAAAAATATTTTTTATCAATTTAGTGTAGACTCAGTGTACAGTGTTTATAAAGTCTACCATAGTGTGTAATAATGTCCTAGGCCTTCACATGCACTCATCACTCACTCACTGACTCACCCAGAGCAACTTGTAGTCCTGTGAGCTCCATTCATGATAAATGTCCTGTACAGGTGTACCATTTTCTCTTTTTATACTGTGTTTTACTGTGCTTTTTCTATGTTTAGGATATGTTTAAATATACAAATACCATTGTGTTACAATTGCCTACAGTGTTCAGTACAGTAACATGTTGCATAGAAATATAGCGTTGGAGTAATAGGCTGTACCATGTAGCCTAGGTGTATGGCAGGCTATGCCATCAAGGTTTGTGTAAGTGCACGCTGATGCTTGCACAGTGATGGAATTTCCTAATAATGCATTTCTCAGAATGTATACCCATTGTTAAGTGACACGTGACTGTTCTGATTTGGCTTACGTTCCCTTTTTTTCTTTTTAAGTAAAAATGAATTCTGATTTACAATATACTAAAGACTGTTTATTAATTTGATGTGGTAATACCACCAGTTATCTACAATTTCTGAAAACTTCTGGGATGGCTTCACTGTTTTTTATTTTGCTTGTTTAGGCCTCAGGGAACAAGATCTTTTCATTTTATGTGCGTGCATTTGATTATTCAGCTACACAGAGAATCCTTTCTCAACCCAGCAAGTTTGGCAAGCTCATGCTATTTTTCAAATAATAATGGATAACTAGTTGCGATTTTATTTTGGTATATGAGAACAATTAAATTTGTACTTTTAGTAAGTACAATTCTCCAATTAGAAAAATCAAGAGACTGCACCTCTTAGTTTGATTTTACATCATCAAGGGATTTCCAGTGGAAATCGTATATAACATTTCTAACTTAACATAAACTTTTCTGTGTACTGTGCTTTCAGTTCTTTGATATGGAGAAGTGTAATAAACTTTATGCCAATCTATGGAAGAGTTGGGGAGGTTGAAAATAAATTTTCTCACTTTGATTCGTGTGTGTGTGTGTGTGTGTGTGTGTGTGTGTGTGTTCTCTGCCATGTTTAGCTGTGGCACAACTATCATTTTATAACAACTAAGTTAAAATATTCTTTAACTAAAAGTGAAATCAATTCTTCACTAGTAAAAAGGAAGCTGCCTGTGTTAAAGAAGACAGAGAGACATCCTCTCCACCCCTACTCTAAACCAGGAACCTGTAGTGTTAAACACAATGACCAAATTCCACAGCACGGTCAGGCTGCATAGGTAGCTGCCAAGACCACGAGTTCTTAATGCTGTACCAGTCAAGCAGTTGAGGGAAAGGGTTGGAAATGGAGTAAGAAATGGAAAAAAGGAGACCATTCTTCTTGAGCTGTGTTGTTTTTATAACCAGCACTTTAATTTTTTTAAAAAAGTGTTTGCTTTAAGATCAAAGTCAATAATAATGAGATTTCTAGATGTCTAATTAAAACCTTAAAATACAAGTTACTTCTAAAAGGAGGAAATTGTTTAGTGTTTTTTCATTGCTTTTATTTTTTTTTTCAATTTTTATTGTATTTCTTTCCATTACCATTTAAAACTTGTGGCAAGGAAGAGTCAGAATTAGGATCCAAACATATCTCAATAGGCTGTGATACAAAAACTGAACCTAATAGAATTAAAGTATTCTTTTTATTTTACCATCAAAATATTTCCACCATTTTACCACATCTTAATGTTTCCACTTCTCCTGCTGTGGGCCGAGCTTCATTCTCACTCCCGCTACCAATCAATCTATTCCTATTACCATAGCCAGAACGATCTCATTAAAACATATTGTATTATTTCACACTACAGTTGCTTCCTACCTCAGTTAGAGTAAAAGCCAAAATTCCTAAAATGATCTCTAAAACCCAACATAATTATTCCTGCCCTCTCTCTGGCCTCTTCTCCTTTTACTCGCTATGCACAAGTCATGCTGGCCTCCCCATTCCTCACAACATGCCAGGACATTTGCTTTCTCCCAACCCAGAAATGTTTTTTGCTCATATATCCACCAGGTCACTCCCTCACTTCCCTCTGGTTCTATATAAATGTCTGCCTGACCACACTGCCTCAGACTGTACCCTCAACCCCACCCAGTTCTTCCTTTCTCCACCCCCATTTTATTTTTTCCTCCCTAGTAATTGATTATATCTATCACACTATGTATGGTCTTTAAGGGTGGCACTAATTTCTGCCAATACACCTGAGATATGATATTGTTTTATGTTTACTACTTAGGCCAGAAATAAGTGAAGGCAATTTCAACTCAGCCATTTCACCATAATAGCTCTTTCTCCACTGACCAAGGAATCATTTCTATGGTTCCAAGAGATGGTGTGTATGTCAGTTTTGATTATAACTTAAAGAAATGTGGAAATGACCACTGGTAGGGTCTGTAGAACTGGTGGACTCAGTGGGAGATGAATGTGGCCCAGAAGACTCTACTTACATTTGACCTACGGTAAGAAGAGTTGCACTATTTATGAAAGGATAAATCTAAGGACAATTGTTTACTATATATTCTATCTTTAATGTACCAAAGCTGTACTAAAGAATGACAGCTAGATACACACCCCTTTAGGTGACAAACAAGTTACTTGAAGCTGAGAGGTCCTAACCCTTGTGGCTTCCCTGTGCTGATGTGATTCATAGTCTTAACATCTTCTTGTCATTGCCTGAGAACAGTGCAATAATTGGGTACATGAGACACTGTACCTGGATGTCTGAAGGCTCCAGGAATTTCTTGCTCTGCATAGCGCTTGCTCTCTGTCTTCTACCCCTTATTAAACCTAAGTAAACTTGGTACTAGGTAAGCCTGTTGTGTCTCATATATTCAATTGACATTCTGAAACTGAAACTCACTCTAGTGGTCTTGTCCTTGCAAGAGTGTAAAAGAACCATAAAAAGTAGTAGAAACAAAATATATAATTAAAAGAAAAACAGGTTAGGCAAAACAGAAGAGAAAGTGAATGAGATGGTAGATTTTATCACCCAGAGTGCAGCAAAGGAAGGCA